GCTGACCCCCGGGCGGCTCTCGGCCTGTGGAAGTGTGGAAGGGTCGCCGCACCCTTCTCTCCGGCCAGGGAAGCAAACTCGTGTCCGAGCATCTCCGGGTCGCGTTCCCAGCGCCCAGCTGCCCTTTCCCTGGGCCGCGTGTTCCTCCAGGCCGGTCTCAAGTCCAAGGGTCTGATGTCGCTCGCAGGGGCTGGTTACTGATTAGTCTCGTGTGCTTTCTGCCCGATGAAGTCCGTCCTGCCACTCCTTTTGTTGTTGTGTTTTGGTTAGTTAGGCAGGGGCAGGTAAAAAAAAAGAAGTATTGAAGGTTGTGTGAGAGCGTGCCTTGCAAGGAATACAGGCGGCACCAGCTGCAGCCCGGGAAGAGCACAGCTCTTGGAGCCAGCTGGGAGTCTAGCAGGGAAAAACATACGAATCAAGTCACCAGATCTCATGACTGAGCTCAGATGTTAGAGCAGGGGAAAGGGCAAGGCTTTGGTCTCTGCAGGAAGCAGTGAGGAGAGCCAAGGTCGTGGTTCTCTCCTCTGAGAGGCATCTCAGAGACGAGTCTCTTTGCAGTTAGAGAGGAAGGATGTGGGAGATGAGTGTGACAGAACTCAGAGGCAGCCTCTGTGGGCAGGGGAGCCGGTAATTGTTTGACACGCTCCCAGGAATGATTTTCACCTCGTGCTCCTTTGTGGATTTCTTCAGTCACAGTCTGATACCTGAGTACAGACAAACCTCAGGACATGAGTGTCCCGAGTAGTCTGGGCAGGACCACTTGTGTCTGACCCAGACAGACAGTGTGGCTCTTCTGTGGTCCCAGTAGCAATTTGGTTGTCAGTGGCAGATAAGGTTTGGAGCACATCTGTTATTTCCCTTAGGAGCCAGCAGCTGCTGTGGGATGGTTCTTCCCTGCAGCCCACTACCCTGGTGTGGTAACTGGAAGAGTAGTGGCATCTATGATGTGACCCAGCCTTTCTGCCATCCTCCTGTCACCAGAGTAGGAGTTTTCCAGTGAGGAGTGAGTTAGGTGGGCTGTAGCCATAGCAGGGTAGAGGCTTTCTGGAGTGGCTGGAAATAGCACCTATCTCAGCTGGATCAGGATGTCCTAGTGATGGACACAGGCCCATTTTTGCTAACCCTTGTTCTGCTGGTTTGTTCTGGTGCTTACACACAGACATTTCCAGCATTAGCAAGTCTCCTCAGAACAGGACACGATTTTCTGCTCGGTGAGTCCCTCCAGCTGTTGTGCAGAGCAGGCAGTGGCACAGAGCTGCTCCAAACAGCTTGTTTTTCATGGCTGGTGATGGGGGTGGCTCCTGGCCTGTTCTGCAGGGCACCGTGCAAGATAACCCATAAGTAGCAAGCCTGACCTTGCTACCTGCTAGACTTTACTCTTTTTCTGCTTATAGTATGAATTGTAAAGAAAACTTGTAATTTTATATTCAGTTCTGGCCTTTCAGGCTTGTAATTTGAAGACTGAAGTGCTTCAGCTGCTGGAATGTGAGCCTTTAATCCAATCACAGTGGGAAAGCTTTGGGCTGTATTAACAAAGATGTCTTTGCTTGGTTGCTTAAAATTTTTGACAGTTGGGTCTTTAGAGCCAGTAGCTAGGTTAAAGTGTAAAATGAGAGGAGCTGAATTCTTGGAGCATCCACGAGGACTAAGCCCCCATTAGGAGGAGTCTGAATTGGCTAGCCCTAGGTCTTTTCTTGTGGTATATGTCTGTCCTGTCCCTGCTGTGTACTGCAGTAAAAGTAATGCTGAAGGGCTTGGGGCAGCTTGTCAAATGAGCTCTTGTCATTCTCCAGCAGCCAGCCAGGAGATGTCATGCCTCAGTCAGTGCTGGTTTGTTGGAAACTATGGCAGCCCAACTGTGGCTTGCTTTTTAGCTTTATCCATTGCCCATGTTCTTACTTTTGTAAGGCTTGTGTAGGAATCTGTGCTCCAGATTTTCTCGAGTGACTTGGTGGATTTGATCTGCTATTGTTGCAAGTTACTTGAGGTGTTGATTCCAGTTAGAAAAGGCCGAGCTTTCTGTCTTAGCATGTCTCTGCTCCCCATGAGGTATGCCTGCAGCAGAGGCGCTCCCCAAAAGCTGTAATGATCTCAGAATGGCTCTCTTGTTGTGAGATATGTAACCCACCAAGATCTTCTGTTACACTTAGTAGTTTTTTGCTTCTTTAGTCCCACTGCTAACTCAAATTAATAGAGTCCTGAGATGTCACTACCACTGAACAAAAGGTCTGTGCCTGTTTGCACTGTCCTTCCAGCTTTTCTTTTACAAAAGCATAGTTGATGAAAATTTGAAACTCTGTTGGTGTAGGCTGGAACATGAGGGTGTGAAATGAGCAGGTTTGTGTCTGTTTGTCATGCAGGCCTGGCAGGATGCTGGACTTGCACTGTCCACCACCAGCAATGAAGCCTGTAAACTCTTCGATGCTGCACTGACACAGGTAGGACCGAAAAGTGTAAGAAAGTGTGATGTGAAGGGACTCGTGCATGAAATAGGCTTTGCTGTAGTTGGCATTTAAATGTCTTGTCAGCTGGAGAGCCTCAAAATTAGGCTGCAGAAAACCTTTCAAACAGAGGGCTGTGCTGGGTGGTGCAAGTGTGTGTGTGGGAAGCCTCAGCTGGTGTGCTCACTGCTCTTGATATTGGCAAATCAGCCAGTTGATATAAACCACGTAGAAATCCAGGGAAATTGGTTCTGATGGTGGCCAAACTATCTGAAACAAACCCCAGTTTTTCTGTTTTTCTACTGCACTAACACTGTCTGAATGCAACATGTGTCTGTTAGTCAATTGCCTTGCTTACTTTTGAATTTTATGTCTGGGAGAACAAAAAGAAGCCAAATATTGTTGAGGGTTTCTCAACCCTCTCTTGCTCTGTTTCTCTTACAGTATGCAACCTGGGCCAGTGATGAGAGCCTTGGAGGTATTGAAGGGTGTCTCTCCAAGTTAAAAGCAGCAGATCCAAATTTTAGTGAGTACAACCTTTAATTCCAAGCATGGAAGGTGCTGGGTGTCTTGATATTTAAATGACATTGTTTATGCAAGGGCAGGGGGATGACTTTTGGAATTCTGTAGAAATTCCTCAGAATACAGAGCCCGCAGGATGCTTTTGTTTTGTTTTTTTTTTTCTTTTCATTCCATATCATATTTAAGTAGCTGTTGTGAAAAGCCTCTGAGAACTTTAGTCTTGGGAGACTTTCTGGACCTCTGTGACCGCAAGTCAGTCTTGCTTAAAATACTCAGCTCCTCTTGTGTTATGTGGAGATGAAGGTAATGCTGTACAGCTCAACTCGTGGTGTGCTGTTTTCCATAGCAATGGGACATGTCATTGCCAATGGTTTGGAGTTGGTTGGCACTGGCAGTTCCGTGCGGCTGGACGAAGGGCTGGACCGCGCGGTGAAAGCAATGGTGGCACTTTCTGAGGCACAGCCACTGACCGAGCGGGAGAAGCTGCACGTGTCAGCGTTGGACATGTTTGCCAGGGGGTGAGTCCATTGTCACCTGAGTTAAGGAACTGTGAAGAACTTTAGCAGCCACAGGTGGAGGCAAAGGTTGGAAGTAGCGTTGTGTGATACAGGATTGGGGTGAGATGTTGCTGTGTGTTCCTGAATTCCTCTCTCCTCTGTAAGTGCCATGTCTAGTTAGTGAGCAGCACAGTAGGAGGTAAAGTGCTCTATTGCCACCAGTTCCTAGCATTAAGCACTCCATGTTTTAAATCTGTCATAGATTCATCAGTGGAATATGTGGTTCAGAACTACGAAATGAGGTATTTGGCTACAGTAGGGTCCAGACTTGGGTGCACAGAAGCACAGGCTAAGTGTTCCATTCCATATGACAAATCTATGTGCACTGCAGCAAGTGTGGGCTAATGGTTCACTTTCATTATTGGTTTGACAAAGAAATGGGTGAGCATGGGTTTAGCTCACATACTTCTCAGCCAAGCTAAAGAGGAAGCTAGGGAAGCCCTGTCACTATGGATTTGATTCCCACTAGAGGAGAGGGAAGGTGTCTTTGTGCATGTGAAGTTGGATCAATTATGGTAGGTCTCTGTAGGAACTGTTCAGCCCTGTAGGAAAATCTTTAGATATATGGTTTAAGCTGCTTTTCATTTTCCTTGTGTGTTACAGTGACTTGGTGTAACCCAAGAACATTTCTTATAAAAGATTTCTCAGAAGGTGTCAAGTGAAGATAAAGCCATTATTACTTTTAAAAAGAATAAGAAATTCCTTCAAGGAAAAAATAAGTCATTTGATGTTGAATTTTCTCTTTTTCAGCATAGTGTGAGTTCAGAACTAACAGTAGCAGCTGTTACAGCCTCCTTTCAGCAATGGAAATAATTTTCTATTTCTAGCCAGCTTCCCAAAGCTTGTGATCTATGGGAACAGATCCTGCAGAGCCACCCAACTGATCTGCTAGCCCTCAAGTTTTCCCAGGACACATATTTCTACCTGGGATATCAGACACAGATGCGAGATTCCGTTGCCCGGGTTTATCCTTTCTGGACACCTGATGTTCCACTAAGCAGGTGGGTCATCCTTCATGTTGGAAATTGCTCTTTACCTGGTTGGCACCTACTCTGTGGGTTTTAAGTTCAAACACATCTAAGTAACAGGATCTGTTGGAAACAGACCTGCAGGGAAAAATCAAGGGCTTAGGAGTGAATCAAACTTGAGCACAGCTGGAACATGTCTCCAGTATCCCTCTTGACACTGTAGTGAAGGATTTTTCTTGGGTGAGCTGTGTCTCACTGCTATAGCACATGGCGTACAGCACACAGGATAAAATCATGTCCTCACCCAGGGCAGTGACAAAACTTGTTTGGGCTTTTGTGAGTCCAGTTCTTCACTTGGGGCTCACATTGTGGGTTATAGAGCACCACAGTGGAAGGAAGAAAGGAGTTGTAACTTGGAATACCGAAGTGTAGTGCTGAAGTAAAATGTTGGGGTGTACAGCAACAGCTGGTGCAGCAAAGGCTGACAGGAGGCACAGTCTTTAAAAATCTGAATCTATTGGCAAGCGGATAGTTAATAAAAGCTAACCTGGCACAATTCTTATCTTTCAGACCTGCTTTATTATTTGAAAGCTTTTGGTGTTATGTAAAAGTTAACATTACAGTGTAAGTTAAGGCATACATGTAACATTTAGAAAGAGCTGAATAGACAATCCACAGGCAACCATAACTTTCTGAGTATTTTATGCCTGCTTCTGTACACCAGTGTGATTTACCTTCATATCCAGCACAATCTGGGCTCCTTTCTTCTTCCAGCAACAGTGCAGAGAGCACTGACTGAATGCTAACATAGCAGTGCAGCCAGCTGAGGTGCCCCACAACCCCATGGCACAGGGGGCAGCATCAGGAGTCTCATCTTTCTAGCTGTGTTACCTCAACTCAGAAAAATCTAAAACTGACTTCTTTTAACTACTATACATTGGTTTCACTTGTTAGGGAAGTAAGACATCTTAGCAGTTTTGACAGCATTTTTATAAACTTTTCTAGACACAATGCGACAGAAGTGCAGGTTTTGTCCACTTATTTGTAAAGCAGGAGGGAACACCCTTTGGCCGAGCATTTCTAGAAGTGAAAAAACCTTGCAAGTACCCATTATCCTCAAATTTACAGGCATGGAGAGTTGAATTGCAAGTGAACTGATATGCTGACCAAGAAAAAATAATCAATATTCATCTTGATCCCTGAAATAAATCAGGTGCAACATACCCCACACTTTTTAGTAGTCCCTTTGCCATAGGAGTTTAAGATCAAAACCCCCAACACATGTTTGGAGAAGGAGAAACAGATCCTGTGGTGTCTTGTGATCCAGGAATCTGCAAATAGAGTAGCAGTTCAATATTTCTTAAATTGACTGTATTAGGTATATGTGTAAGAACATCTAACATCCCTAATTTTCCTGTATGTTGAGCCTGTGTGGCTGAATGGGGATCCTGTACAGCCAGTTCTGAACTGCCACTTCGCATAAAAGTGCTCTCTGAGTTTAATGCTATTTCTAGCATTTTTCAGTCCTGAGTTAAATCTATTATAAATGGATGATGTGCTGTTTTTTCCCTTTTGTTAGCTACGTGAAGGGCTACTACTCCTTTGGACTCATGGAGACAAACCTGTTTGACCGTGCTGAGGAGCTGGCCCGTGAGGTAACCTGCTACTGGGGCTAACAGGTTTTAGAACTCTCAAACCCCTCTCTCTCTGGGGGGTGGTTTGTGCCAGTGCCATGAACTGACTCTCAGTCCCTCCAGTTGTTAGTCAAAGTAGCAAGAGATAAAGCTCAACATGGAAGTGCTCACAGAGCTCATGAGGCTGTTGATAACGATTCCTACAGCTCTGCCACACCATGGCAGTTTCACCTGGACTGTACTTCCTTCACCTGCCTTAGGAGCATGCCTTGTCAGATGGGGTCAGAGCACCTCTATAAGTTATACTCACTATATATCAACCCCTCTGCTGTTTTCCCCATGTACAATTGGCTTCTTACTCCTACTAAAGAATGTTGGATTTCTTCCATGTAGTCTGCTCTTGACAATCCATCCTGTTTGGGTTCCCCATCCCTTTTTTTCCCAGATGCTTGTCCTGGATTATTGAACAATTAACTGTACAATGTTCCTGGGGATCAATATTAGCCAGCCTGTTTCCTTTTTATGCAGATAGTAATTATACTTGGCTTTTTCCAGTCCTCAGGATTATCCCTTTCCTCCAGGAGTCTCAGACACAATTAATCTCTAATGGGTGTTGTTTACAAACTTCTGTTACATCAAACCCTAACACTTGGCCTAAAGCCTAGTGGGAGTTGTTGGAGCAAGGAAGAGGAATTGGCTGAATACTCAGAGCTGGCCATGTTTTTGAAGAAGAAATACACTGCTCTGCAAGGCTTTACATCATGGAATAGCAACCTTCCAGTATCTGAAGGGGCCTACAGAGAAGCTGAGAGGGATTCTTTGTGAGGAGCTGTAGTGATAGAACAAGGAGTAGTGGGTATAAATTGAAAGGGGGAAAATTTAGATTAGGTAGTAGGAAGAAGTTTCTTAATGCGAGGGTGGTGAGGCACTGGCACAGGTTGCCCAGAGAGGTTGCAAATGCCCCAACCCTGGCAGTGTTCAAAGCCAGGTTGGATAAAGCCTTGAGCAACCTGCTCTGGTGGGAGGGGTCTCTGCCCAGGGCAGGGGGATTGGGACTAGATCATCTCTAAAGTCCATTCCAACCCCTTAACATCCTACTGTGAATACGTAGTGCCTGTGCATGCATTTCTTTCACTGATGCATATCTGAAGTGAAATGTCAATTGTAGTCTTCATCAAATCCTGCATTTTGAAGTGCTTTGCAGGTGTTCACCTCCCTGCAGTAGAAGTTAGGAAGTAAAGTCTGCCAATAAACATTTTCTTCCTTTTCTATCCAAATCAGACTTCCAGGCTACGGTTAGTTGGAGTGGTACAGGGATGTACTTAACATTCAGCAAGTGAAAAGTAGTCTCGTTTTCTAGGCAAGCAATGATGAATGTGTGGGTTTGTAAAGTTTATCATGTTTTGTCTTTTTCACTCACAGGCTTTGGCTATAAACCAGACAGATGCGTGGTCTGTCCATACCATAGCTCACATAAATGAAATGAAAGCAGAGGTGACGAAAGGCTTAGAATTTATGAAGGAAACTGAAACCAACTGGAAGGTAAACATTCACATCACATGGCATCTCTGAAGAAGCTCCTACAAAGTCTTCTTTAACTTCTGTGGCCAGAAGTTGACCCCTCTGCACACAATTCCTTCCTATCTGCAGACATGTTACATGCAATGCAGAGTTTGCAGACTAGAAGAAATCCTCCCTTGAGGTGCTGTTACCATCCATGCTGCTTTTTAAGCAAGAGGCAGGAAAAAATGGTATGTGATAAGGGACACACTTTGTGGACCACTGTAAGTCATTATTACTGTGACTGCTGAGATCATAAAACTGGCCAGGATTCACACCCTGGCTGTCCTCTGCCTTCCTTTGGCTAGGAGCAGCCTAACAAACTGTGCTTTTCAGGAAGTATGGGGTTTGGACATGCATGTATTGGTTCTTTCTCCCAGTGGAGCTGAGTAGGGATTTCTCATGTCATAAAGACATGGCCATGGCACACAGGTGAAACCTCAGATGTGAAACTTGTGGTTTATTGATAGGTAATTTGTACATATGTGATTTATTGTGTGGTTATAAAAGTCAAGTGGCCACTGATATTTTCACAAGCTTTTTGCTTTGACTGAGATGAGCAGGGAGAGTCAGTTGAGGAACCTGGCTAAATCTGATGGGATCTAGGATGAGGTGGGAAATGACATAGTGAAATCAAGTGTTTTAGAAGACTCCTAAAATACTTGTTTGCTTCTGGAAGGGGAAGGGTTTGTGAAGATCAGCTGTACAGAAAAGAGAAATGATGCTTTTGTCTCCTTTCTAGTGTACTAATTACTTGCTAGTGCACCAGTTACTTTATATATCCAGCATGTTTGAAACTATCTCTCAGAGTATTGAACAGGTTAATTAGTCTGTCAGACAGTCCTTTGCTGTAAGTGAAGCTTCATTTTTGTGTTGGACAGCATGTGTTTTTGCAGTGATGAAGTTTGTTATATTTAGAGCAGAAGGCTGTGAGGTTTGAGTTGGTTAGAACCACAAGAGTCTGTTTTAGAATCCCCTGAGCTGACCATTCCACCTCCCCCAAATAGCAGGGCTGCATAATGAGACTAGAAAGACTAGGTTTGCACTTGTTTTTTTAAGTTAAGCAGTCAGATACCAAGCTTGGAAGTGCAGGCAGAAAATTCTTACTTGAAGTTCACATCTGTCATTTCCCAGAAAGAATTTTGTCCTTTGATATGCTAGTTTTAACGAAACAGTGATGCAGGGGATTGACAGTTTGGGTGACACCTTAAAAACCCCAGTCAGTGACCTGAATCAATTTGTGAACTCTTGCTTCTTAGCGTAGTTGCAGGTCTCTGTGATCTGTACCCTTTATCCAAGTAAGTTAAAGTGCAGTATGAGTGAGTAGAATTGGCTAATGTACCTCCATGCCTGACCCAGTAAAGGTTTGTAACAGCTGGCATTGTCCTGTGATAATGTACATCATCCCATCTTTTGGACAGTAGTTTTCATCTTGAACATCATGGACAGAGTGTTATAAGCCCACGAAAATAAGCAGGTCTGTCTGAGCACTTCATTGGAGTAACTTGTATTTGGCCTAGTGATTTGAAGTTTTTATTTATTTTCTTTTAATGACCAGGAACATCTGTCTGTATTGCCACAGTGTCCATGCTAATTCTGCTGCTTTCAGTTCATCATTCTACTTCCCACATAGAGATTTTGTACAGGTTTTCTTTACACAGTACCTTCATTTGTTTGTTCCCCCAGCTCCCCCCAAAAAAATCCCAATAGATGCCATGGGTTTTTAATGTGCATTTCAGAACAGAATCCAAAGAGGCAAATTACCTTACCAGAAGGCACCTCTCTGCCAGTGCTGTTTATTATTAAATGGCAGTTGTTTTTCTCCTGAGCTGTTGTGGTGAGTTCCCATAACCTTGTTCTATTGGTTTATTTCAGTTACCTACAAACCCACTCCTCTCTAGCAGTTCAGTCTTGTTCAGACCTCAAAATTAGCAGCAGTAAAAAGGTTTTGCTTTATTTAGTGAGGTGATTTCATGTAATTTTGACAATGTATGACATTTGGAGTGGCAGTGTGATATGAAACTTGATTATACCAGTGTTTATGCTAAACATTTAACTACTTCAGTTGCTCAAGTTTGAATTGCCAGAATGTTTATCTTAGCACCACAAAGCTCTGACCTTTCTGGGAACCTTTGTGCTTCCTAAAAGTGGATGTTACGGTTGTCACCATGACAGTGAAGACGGTTTTTCCTATTGTGAGAACATGAAGTTTAACTACTACACTGGATGAGAGCAGGAGGAGAGGGACAAACCTTTCCAGGGTTTTAATTTTCACCAAAGGATTATAGAACTACATTTGTGTTTGTCTATTCTCAATGCCCTCGTTGAAATGAACTGCAGTGATATTGTCTTGAAGTTGGGAAGAAGATTTGAAGTTCTGGTGCCGGCTGGAAAGGACAGTGCAGAGTTGGCACAGTCCAGCAGATATTCACCTCATCTGATGAGCTGCCAATGTGTTTGGTATCCAGTGCAGCTTCTGGAGCACATAGTAAAAACATCTGTTTAAGAAGTGATTCCTCTGTATCTGAGATAGGTGTCTAGATGGGTGGGATGAATGGCCCTTATGAGGTATCTCTCTCCACTATCTGTCGAGGTTACTCTAGGCCAGATGCCTACATTTTAGATGAGGCAAATCTTACTCTTGCTCTAGATACGGATTTTTTTCCTAACAAAAAAACCAAGTGCTGCAGAAGCATGATTTCTGAGGTACCCAAGTGAAACTCTTCTCTGGAAAATGATGTGGGGAGGCCTTGGGTTTGAGGTGTCTCCCTGAATAGCTGCAAGGACAGGTGTACCAAATGAGAAATGACCTGGCCTGTGGATTTACAGTTCTGGTTCTTTTGTCCTTCCTGAAATACTCAGTGTTGCTGAAGAAGGAAACAAAAATCCGACTAGATAACTTTAAAAGGGAAGTTGTTTTGTCAATAATTTCTCTTTTCTCTGTTTTTTTTCCCCAGAACAGTGACATGCTTGCTTGCCATAATTACTGGCATTGGGCTTTATACTTCATTGAAAAGGTATGGGATATTTTCATGCAGGTGTTTTATGGTCCAGATAGGTCATTCATCTAATGCTGGTTAGAAGGCAGAGCTAACATTGACGGGGGGTTCAGCTATTCAAAGGGCTGGTTTTATAAAATAGCACAATGCTAGTCCTTTATTACAGTTATGTTGAGAAATTCTAATTGCATTGGTCAGAGTTTCAGGACCTTTGTTAAAATGTTCAAATATTGCTGTGAAATTATTGCACATTCGAAGACCAAATAATCTCACTAATTACATTTGGCACAGTTACTTGTTAGAAAGATGAACTTAGATCTCTAACTTTCAGGCAAAAATTAACCAGATGCTTATCAAATTCAGTACTAATTTTCTGGCCCAAAAATTTGCTGGCTCTAAAAAAAGAGGCAGTAAGCTCTAAATCAGGTTGCCAGTCTTATTAATTATTAATGTTAGCAATGCTTATTACCATTTAAACCATTTAAAAATGGTTGTAATTTTACCCAGCCTGTCAGGTTGCAACACAGAATTTCCTTGCATTGAATGCTTGGCAGTTGTGGGGTTCAGCTCACTCGGGAGGCAAATGTGGCACATTTGAGAACTCAGCACACTTTGGCCAGAAAGCAGTGTCACTGCACTGTGTTGAGTATTAGTAACATAGAAGGAGCATAATTCTCAATAGTAGTCCAACAGTTTGTTTATTTTGCCACCTTCTAGCTACACAATGTTTTTGAAGGCTGCTTGAAACTATTTTTCTTCCCACCTCTTTGCATCCACCTTTCCCTGAAAGGAACATTAGAATGAGGGGTAATACCTTGTCTTTCTCCTTCGTGTGTAACTTACACCAGCATTGGTGTCTATTACTGAATGAAACCTCAACATACTGATCATTTTGCCTAGAAAAGACATGTTTTCCTTAGACTCCAATTCCTTCTTTCAATGCCTCAAGGTTTCTTTGACTTGGTTTGTTTTGATCAAGCCACATGGCAGTCATGAAGCACTGTTGGCATCTGTTGATTGTATGTGTGTCTTTGGTTACTGCCAGTCACTGCTGGCTGCTGGATCTGAACATTAACCACTCTGTCCTCCTTTGCTTTTCCAGGGTGAATATGAGGCTGCTCTGACAATTTATGACAATCATGTGAGTAGGAGCCTTTTTTCTTTACTGAGAACATTCCTCAGATTAGGATATGTGTTCTCTTCCTTCTCTGTGAGATTGAAACCTATCTCAGATTGTGATGTACATATGTGTATTGTTTACATCCATTGTTACAGTTTCTCAGGGAAACAATTTCTCAACAGTTTTGGGTTTAAATGCCTAAATGACTCATGTGTTACGTAGCTGAAGTGTTCCTTACATTTGAAAGAGCTACAGTCGTACTGGTTCCCGTTCTGTCTGCGTTTCTTATCCGTGCTTTTTTGAAGGCTGTAAAACAATTTTCCTATGAAGTCAAGGTTCCTTTACAAAGATCTGGGTCTACGTGTTAGTTACTAAGTCACTGTCTGGATTTCAAAACGGTCTCTGTAAATTAGCAATGTCATGTTAGGTAAGATAACATCTTTGCACAAATTATAAAAATACTGCAAGATTAAGAAAGCTGCTGGGCAGATTTTTATCGACTAACCCTGAGAAAGTGAAGTAATATTTATGGCATAAGTTTGGAAAAAAGTAAAACACCTTGGTGACTCTCTGTACTTACTGAGAAAAACAACACACCTAAAGCAATTTAAGTGTTTGCCCTTGGAAACTCCTGCATTCAGGAAAGGTGCAATTAGGCCTATTGCAAGACAGGTTAATTCTGAATGAATAGAAGGATAAAATTAATTCTGTACTGTGCAAATAAGTTTGATTACCTGAGTAGTTTCCACCAGCACATCAGCTGAGTGACTAGCTTATGAGTGCCTGCTTTGCAGATTGCTCCCCGGTGCCTGGCGAGCGGCAGCATGCTGGATATAGTTGATAACTGTTCCATGCTCTACAGGCTTCATCTGGAAGGTATGATATCCACTGGCTGTTGTTTTTTATAACTGTAAGGCAAACAGTTTTCTTTTTGCCTTCCCCCTCTCCTGCCTTGCCTGTTGGGGAGGTATTTAAATGTAATTGCACACAAGCTTGGTCAGTGTTCCAGAAGAAAATTCTGCTCTTGAGAAAAGCGTCAATGTAAAATTCCTAATAATGTCCATAAGCTTTATTCTTCCCAAGAGCTTCAATTTTCCATGCTAGTGTAGTATTGCAGTCAGCTCAAGGTAGCACAGGTCATGTATTTTTCTTTTGACAGTTTCACTTCTACAGTCTCTGGAGATCTGAGGCTGAGCAATTGAGTGCATAAGCCTCTAAAAAGCTGTAGAGCTTCCTTGAAGTAAACTTCCCCTTAGATCCTTATCCTTCTGTTTGGTCCTGTTTGAAATAGCTAATATGTGCACACTGGAATCATAGACTCAACAGGGTTGGAGGAGACCTCTCAAATCATCCAATCCAACTGTTAACCTGTCACTGCTGTAACCCTTAAACTATATCTTCCAGTGCCAGATCCAGACACCTCTTAAACACTTCCAGGGATGGTGACTCCACCACCTCCCTGGGCAAACTATTCCAATGCCTGTACAAATTAGCTTCTGGCTTTTGTGTATTGTCCTAGCTCAGTGGCATTTGTCCTTAATTTTTGAAGCTCCTGTTTATACACTAGAGTTGGTGGCAGGGACACAGTGGGCAGACATCATTTTCACACTGTTCTGCTAAAACAGTAGATGCATTGGGTGTTTCATTAAATCCATCTTATCCTGCTGCCTTTTGACTGCTACAGATGATTCATGGTGAGCCTCACCTGCAAGAAGACATTATGAGCAATCTCATAATAAAACCAGAAGCTCACACAGTGCAGTCTATAAACTATTGGCTCTAAACTCCTGACAGTCAATAAACTCTTGCCCCAGATACCACAGGCTGCAGCTGAGCATTGCATACATTTTGCCACATGAGGGAATGTTTTCCTGAGTTCAGTAGGAATGCTTTTCACGCCAAGTGACTGAAAGTATATTGCAAAAGTCATGCTATTGCATGTGCTATTTTGATTGAGAGAAATGTTTCTTGCTCTTAGGTGTGAAGCTTGGAGACAGGTGGAAGAATGTTCTTGCACTTACAAAGAAACACACCAATGATCACATTCTTCTGTTCAATGATGTGCACTTTTTGATGTGTTCACTTGGAGCCAAGGACCACAAAACCACAGAGGAGCTTTTAACATCTCTTCAGGAACTTGCCAAGTAAGCAAAGGAATCTGGTTAAGCAGGAATTGCATGTGTTTGAGGTCACAAACACTCACTGAACAGTTGCTGTTTCCTTTCAGTGGGGTCACACTAAGCTACATTATGTACCAGGGATAAAGTATATTAGTAAGAGCATTGTACAAGATCTGTCAGCCACCTATGGTGGTTCTTTTCTTCTCTGGTTTAACAGGTTCTTCATTAAGAGAACATTAGATGGTAGTGATGCTCTAATAGCTACTGTGCCATGTGTTGTGAAGTACATCTGCAGAAAATTAAGGGCTGCTAAAGTAATAATATAGAATATTTTGCTTTCAAATTAAATTATTTGAAAAATTTGACTAAGCATTAGATCTAAACAATAGGTTTTTTTCATGTTCCTTTGTGTTTTAAATGACTGTAAATTGCCTTGATATTTCAAAGGGGTTGATATACAGATGCTTTAAATGGATTTCTTCCCCCTACTACACCTTTTTTTCCTCTGTTTCAGCACCTATTGCATCCCTTGCCTTAAAAATAGAGGAAGGAGAACATGAAATTGTCACTATTTGTTCCTGTCTATAATACCTATCAACCATAAATCATAACAAATAAACGTAATTTTTCAGAATACTTAGGAAAACAAATAGCTGTCAAAGCAAGCCTAAGTATGTCTGATTTGACTAATGTGGGAAATGGCAAATATCCTTTAGATAAGTATACATAAAGCACAGAAAACTGCACACCAGGGAAACCTTAATGAACATATCTGTTCATATGTGCTGCTTTCACCCAGTTCTTACTTTCACCTACATGTTCAGCCTTTTCTAGTAACACAGAGGTACATTTTTAGCTGTAGTTTGAAATATTGCAAAGCTTAATGTCATTCTTTGAGAAAACAAGCTGTGAGGGGAAGGGTTGTATTAATGATTGGATTGATTTATGTCTGTCACAAATATGTAATACATGAATGATACCTCAGATGCGATTTGTGCATGTTAAAACAGCAGTCACAAAACATTTGGCACAAAGAACAGTCGTGTTTGGCTTTGCCTTAGTATTTTTTCCCTGGCCTTTAAAGTTAAGGAGAATTTGTTTGTCCAGTGTTCCATGGTGCTCTCTGGTGGTTGGTATCACATGCTCATTTTACATGGATGGAAATGCTGGGAACAACATTTAAATGAGGAACTGTTTCGTCATTTTCATCATTAACTGTCTCAAACTATTTAAAATGAACATCTGTCATGCACTGACAAAGGTTCCTCCGTGTTAAAAGATTTGGTTGGAAAATTTACAGAAAAATCTGACCATGGATGGAATCGATAACATTGAACTCTGCACTGTATCCCCAGAAATAATCTGTATTGCTTGGGCTAGAAAGTCCTTCTCTTCTCATACTGCCAACCAGCTTTTTAGCAGTGACACGGCACAACCTCCAAGGCCCTGGTCACTGTCAGACTGCTGGAGCAGCAGGAAGACAACATTCCACAGTGTCCCATGTGGGTAGTGCCTGAAGATCAGAGAGCCACAGTTTGGTTACTTGTATTTTTCACTCACTTTCTTTCAGCATGGGTGAGTGGCTGTGTTGCTCTGCAGGCATGGTGTGCTGCTGTGTGCCCCTTCTGCTCCTAGAGGGGTTAGGATACAAGCACCCAAGGAATAAAGAAAAACCCAAGCGTAGAGCCAGCCAAAATCCACTGCTGCTCGTGGGCCTCAAAGCAGTCTGTGGTGATTGGGCTTGTGCCTTTTGTGGGCAGTTTCCTTCTCCTGAAAGTAACATAGTCACACCAAAAGATATGATCTAAGTGAAGTACCTGAAACATGAGGCTTTCTGCAGTTCAGCAAAACCTTGTCTGCACACAGGGACAGACTGGCACTGACATAACATATTTATGCTTTAAATTTATGGCAGTTAACCACTTTTTCAATCTGCAGAGCACCTCGTGAAGAGCACCAGCTTTCCCTGGCTCCCAGTTTGGGGTTGCCACTGTGCCAGGCTTTTGTAGAGTTTGAGAATGGAAATTGTGACCGAGCTGTAGACCTGCTCTACCCAATCCGTTATCAGCTGGTCCAACTGGGAGGCAGCAATGCTCAGGTAAAGGAGATCAAGAAAAGACTTTTTGATGTGACTTAATCCCCTTTCAGTAGCCTCCATTTAGGCACCTGCCTTATCAAGGGCACTTCATTCTTAGAAAGTGAAAAGCTAAGCTGTGCTTGTGACTGAATCCTGTTTGCAAACAGTTGCTAGCAGGGTTAGCTGTTTAATTTTTATTGTTGATATATTTCCTTGCTGTGGACTTAATAATTTGGTAAACAAGATATTGTCACCAACAATATAAATTACTTATTACATTGTATTTTTGCTGACATGTTTTTTCAGAGAGATGTTTTCAGCCAGTTACTGATTCATGCTGCTTTAAATTCTAAATCACAGGCCAAACGAAACCTTGCAAGGTGAGTATTTTCCCTGCTAAATATTTGTGGAAGTAGCACTGTTAGTAAAAGTAAGAAGTAATGAGTATACTCAAAACAATTTATTAAGCCTGAAATTAGATGCAAGCATTTGTGTTAAATGTAGCATCACTTAACATGGATAAAAAGTACAATAGCTTTCAATTCCAAAAGCACAGTCTTGTGGCCTGGATGAATGATTTGTGTTTGTTCAAGGGCAGTTGATTTTCAAATGGTTCTGTCTTAAAACGTGGCCTGTTGATCAATGTACATTGTGGACTGATGAACTTCTGTGAACTACAACTCAGATCTGTCCTAGTGCTTGACATCTGCTTTAGTGGGAAGTAAGAGGTGTGGTCTGGTAGATGCTTCAGCACAGATCACAAGAGCCTTGTTTGGTAGCAATGGTCCATGTTATCACCCACTCTGAGTGCTGCTGAAGTGCAGTGCCTGGGTCTGCCTGGGCCCTTAACAGGTCCTTGGGACAGCACAGAGCCCTGCCTGTTCCCCTCCTGAGCTCTCTGTGAAACATAACCATTGGATACAACAGCAGTGAGCTGGGGGTGCTCATTTTCCGTCTGTGCCAGTGTTGAAGACAGCACTGTTCTGCCTAAATGGGATTCTTGCCCAGGCCAAATGTTTCCAGTAAGGGAAATCTGCCCCTCAGGAGCAGGTCTTTATGTACTGGTTTCCTCCTTTTGCAAGGACACTGCTGGTGATCTTACAGGAACACTGATGTGGTACTCATGACTGTCCTGTGTCTCTCCTTTCTCAGGTGCCTCCTGAGAGAACGTGATGTGATGAGACCAAACTCACCAATGACAGAGCGACTCATCAGAAAGGCAGCAGCTGTCCATTCCATGGCATGAGGCTTTGCTCTGTGCTTCAGCTGAAATAGCAATGAGCTAACCACAATGTCTGGGTGCAGGGAGTGCAGGGGTGCTGTGCTGCAAGCCATGTGCTAGGAATTTGCAGGATGTAAGAGCACACAGGGGTCAGAGATCTGGCAACAACTTCCTTAAAAAACATTACACAGCTGTTGCATTTCAGGAGGTCGAATCTTATATGATTCCACATACTATCATCTCACTACAGTGAGTCTGTGCATGTTTGAAACCTGAGTTAAAGTACACACTTCAGAGAGGTCTCTCCTAGCAGTGAACGCTGGACAGGAGCTTCTGCCATGGAAACAGAGCTAAGGGGAAGGGACACAAAGCTCTGTCCCAGCACATGATGTGATAAGCTTTGGTGCTGCAAATGAGGCATGCTATGGGCCACGTGCCTTGATGGAGTGCTGGTGCTTCTGGATTCCTGCAGAGATAACAGATTGTCTTGCAACAGTATTCCAGAAATCTCAAATGACAGGAGAGATGGTATTGCAAACCAAAACTGAACTAATACCTCCTCTTCTTCCTGAATAGAAATACCACAGTCTTCCACTTCCCTAGCTCTGCCTTTGCTACCACATCTGCACTCTCCTGGCCACACATACTTGTCCCCTCCTTCCTGTGCAGCTCAGGCTCTACACTGTGTCCCACAGCAGCCTCATCCCACACAGTTTCCTTTTGACCTAAAAAAGCACTTCCATAGCTGGCTCTGTACTGCCCCTGGAGTTCCTGCACAGAGGAGTAAGAAGTGGAAGTGCCTTGCTGCCACCCTTCTTCCCCTAGCCCTCCTGTGAGGTAAAATCAGTTTATTTTTAAAGCAGTGATAACATGTGAGACCAGGGAAGGGGTTGCATCCTTGCCTGCAGTCTTCTGACCTCTGACCACACTGTTCTTTCAGCTTCATCCCTGCTTTGTCTGTCCAGCCAGGGCTGTGGGTGACTCACTCTGGGCTCAAGTCACACTGGATTGTTACTATTATATTTAATCAGTGCTTTGCAAGCAATGACTTTAGACAGGTCAGTTATTAAAATAATCAAGGACTGTAAGAAATCTTATTAGGGAACAAAAGCCTGAGTACTCTGCTGGCTGCCTGTGTAGGGTGTGGTTTGTGTCATCCATTGCTGCACAAATCTAAGAATGACATTTGTACTGCTTTTGATACAATGTGATTGAGAATTTTCTCTGCTTTACATTAATAAACTCTAGATGGGCTTAGTTGAGCAAGCAAGTGTATGACTTCTTTGCATGTGTGAAGCTTTTAAATGTGTCATTCAGCTTAATTCTATAAACCTGTAAGCGTGTGCATCTGCTTTGCTTCGTGTCACTGTGACAGAAGCTTTTCATTCAACTAGGGTTACACGTTCTGCCCATAAATGAGAACTTGTGGATTTCTGCCTTCCCCTTATTTTATCTAAAATACTCAAACTATTTGGGACAGAGCAAGTATATTCAGAGTTAAATGCAGCAAACTTGCTAAGATTTATTTTTCCAATTAAATATTTCCAAGGGTGCTACTCATAACACATTCTGTGAGATTGTTCTATAAACAATTTGTCTTGATATATGAGTAGTAGCTAAATAGCTCTGAGACAGGAACCAACAGAAAGCAACCAACCTCAAGGGCAGCAGTATTTGTGCTCACCAGTAGCCTCTAATGCTATGCCTAAAAGAAAGGGAAGTTCTGGGATAAACACAGAATTTGCCCCTTGCAACTGTGTTTTGTTTTTAGCCTTTTCTGAACAAGCTTGCACTGCATCTACTGAACTCTCTGGCAGTCACTCACCAGATTGTAATACAGGACGAGTGCATGAGGCAGAGACACCAGGGCAGGCAATGGCCTCAGCTGGGCCAGAAATCCAGGAAAAGCAGCACTGCTGACAAATGGGAGCACTGTTGTCACACATGAGCTATTTCAGACAAAAGCATTGCCCACAAGGGCAGTGGCAAGAGGCAGCACTAGGACTGCCAGAAAAAGGCAGATAGGGTTTCTCCTCAGAGTCACCGGGAAGGGGAAAAAAAAAGCACTTAAAAATTCTCTTGTTATGATGAAAACACACTTTGATTGGGTCTTGCCTTGAAGGTTGTTTGTTGTAGCAGCTTCTGGAACAGTAACTCAGCCTCGTGGCTCCACAGCTGCCCACACAGAGCCTGGTCTCAGGCTCACAGAGCCCAGGGGCACAGCTGGCCAGGTCCTTTCAGGAGTTTTCCTTGGCAGCAGTGAGGAGGAGGCTGAAGTGCCAGTAGGTGGGAGAGCCATTGTTTATGCTCCTGCACGCAGAGCATGCATTTCCCAGCTTTTCTCCCTCTTCAGCTTCAGCTCAGCTGTGGCAGAGCAGCCACAGCCCTGTGCCCCAGAGAGCTGCACGCCCTGGCAGCAGGGCAGTTTTGAGTGTGAACAGCACTGCAGTTCCCATTTCTTCCCCTGCCCTTCCTCTACACCTCGTGATTTGGACTGATTTTAAGCTGTTGGCATCTCAGCAGCACCCTCCACATCCTGGCCTGCCTTGTGGCTTACAGGAGTGGGGGGAGCCCAGAGCTGTATTTTAGAGGCTCCTAGTTCAGATTTTTTAAAAGTTACTCACGGAGATATTGACAAAGTGCATCCTTAGAACAAGTCAATATCTAACTACTTCTAGCTAGTAAAACTAGCAGTTCTGCTACTACTTCACTTAATTCCTTCCCCCTTTTTTAGAGCCTCAACAACTGCTCAGAGCAGCTGTTCATTTAGAGGAAATCCAACCAAACTACCCCACCACTTTAATATTAAAGCTGTCTTCGTTAGGAAGTTAATTTACGGAAATACTTTCCCTGAATCAGACTGTTCTCTCTTTCCCACTCAGCTAAGCATCTACACTACAATGTCAATCCACATCCATGCAGTGCCCTGGTTTAGAAACGTGGGAAGAAGATACAGAGCACATGCAAGGACTGGTGCTCTCTTTCTGTTTAGTTGTGCCATGTTCAGGCATAGAGATAAACTGCACACTAACAAGCAAAAAGTGAGTGAAAACATGTTTTATTTGCAGATACAGCAAACTCAGTGATTCAGAAACTACAGGCAGAGATCTTAAATAGGGGTAAAATCTTCCCCTTTAATGCAGTATTGACACATTTTCATTTAGTTCTACGACAGTCATTTCAATAAGATTTCTTGGGTTTATTTCCCCATCCTCTTGGGAACTCACAGTCTTTGAGTACATGTGGTTGACAGATTTGCATCACAGATGCAAATACCTGGGAGGCTGTTACTGTTACTGTAAAGCTTATCTGAAAGCAAAAATTACTGCTCCTCTGTCCTCACCAACAGATTCCCCCTTAACAGCTGGACTGCCTGAGTAAGACATCTTGGTACAGAGGGACTTCATTTGATCAACTCATAGACTCCTCAGTAAAATCCAGAAGAAACTGACTACGTTTCTGGTAGGGATTTTTCTGGACAATGACAAGCATGTAACTTAATAAAAAAGGGCTGAGCCACCGTTAGTAGGGTGGTACATCACTGACAGACCAAGCAAGTCCATGCAAAGCAGGGCCAGGGAAGCAGTATTCAGGATCACCCACAGCTACCTCAAAACATGAAGGGGAACTTCACTTGTCAGCAAGTTGCCCAATGCAACATGGGCAAGAAAACACGTGGACAGTGTCAGGACAGCAGTTTGACCACTGGCCTTGAGAGAATATAACTGGTCTCTTCCAGTCATGTTCTGTGTATGGAAAAATGAAAGTTAATGCAGACACATAGGACAGACAATCTCAATGCTGCTTAAGATGTTTCTCCTATCCTATTGCATTTGCTAACACGATGAGAAATGACATGATCACATCCACTGGAAAGCCTGGCTCGTTGTGGCACAGCCTGTGTGTACTTATGGCCATGAGCTGCAGCCAAAGCACCACATTTTAGTACTGCTTACTCACAGGTTGTGGCTTTCACAGTTCCAGTTGAGCTCTGCTTCTGTACAGGTCACAGCAAGTTACTGCACATCTCTACAAAAAATTTGATCCAACAACTTTCTGATCCATCTGCCATTGTACAGGTGAAACTATTCCACTTGAGAGTTTAGAACATGGATTTGAAATACGCTTTTTCTTTTTTTGTTTGTTTGTTTACCATTTTAAACTTGAAGCTTGTATCAGCATCCATAAACAGTGCTTTGAAAGTGAACTCAAGTCTTTCTTACCTACACTGAGTGATTTAGAATTGTGACAGATGAGAGGACCAAGAGCTGCTGAATTCTGCACTGAAAAGAATCTCTGACTACTAAAAACCTGAGAGCCTCCTTAAAAACTACGTTGTTGATTTTTCTCGTAACAGTTTGCAAAGACAAACACTCTCTCTTTTTAAGACAATGTTTTTACAATTATTTGCCCACAGAAGTCATAACAGTCAGTTTCCTATCCTAGGATTCTGATTTTCTTGCTATGGTTATCCAAATATCTATGCTTCATTTAAGAGAAGAAGAGGAGAAGACAAGGCAATTAGTCCCAGCAAGTGTAGCATGGAATCATGATAGAATCATAAGAGTTTTAGGGGTTGCAATGGACCGTACAGATCATCTAGTCCCAACCCCTGCCCTGGGCAGGGACATCTCCCACCAGAGCAGGTTGCTTAAGGCCTCATCCAGCCTGGAAACACTGCCAGGGCTGGGGCAGCCACAGCCTCCCTGGGCAACCTGTGTGAGGTTCCAACCTGTAACATCTGTTTTACCATCTCTCCTCAAGGCAAAAATTATTTGGATTAACATTACAAAAGGACAATATGAATAAAGAAGTCACCAAGTCACCTGCAATATGGAAAACAAGACGAAGGATACAAACAGCCACAATCCCTTTAAGAGATAACACATTTTTTTTCATCCATTTTATACTCTATTATATACTCTGGGTAAATCTGGTACTTTTCAAAGACAACAAAAACAGAAGGATTTAACTCATCATCCACACAGCTGTCATAAAACCAGAGCCCATCCACAGACTTTGCCGGAGGACGAACATAGGCTGCATTGCCTTTAACATACTGTCCAACCAAAACACGAGCCAGGAACATCATGCTTTCTTTCCCCACAGCCTGACAGTACGCATGGGAATAGGAAGCATCTCTAGCAAAGTAACTTCCTAGAAAACAAGATGAAAACGTGGTTGTCAGGAGTGTATATATAGAGCAACAATGGAAACTGAGCATCCCTTTGGTTTCAGGTGGTATCTGGCCCAACTTTCAGGTCTCCTCTTACTTGGTTTATGTAACACCACAGAAATGTTTGCAAGTGAAAGGATTTCAGCCTATAAATTTCCATTCAGAATTTGCTTTTTTAGGGGAAATTTTTTAAGAAAGCAATTCCTATAAAAATACTACAGGTGTGTGTGATATGATGAGAGGAGCAAACAAGAAAACATGAGGACCTTCCACAATCACACTGGGGGAATGCACACCCTTCTTGCTCCTTGCTGTAAAGACTAATTTCTCTTGCAAGCTCAAATTATGACCTTGAGCCTACAGAAGATCCCATTTACAGCAACTCCCTACATTAATACTCTTAAAGACCTTGTGAGAAGACTTAGCCCCACACAAGCAAATCCTGGCCATCTTCAGAAGGAATGAAAATCATAATATCAATTCCTACCTCTTTTTTTTTTCACCTTCTATAGTTAAAGACTTCAGAACTTTCCCCACCATCAATGGGGTCTGAGTAGACCTTTAACAGAGAGAGTCACTTCCTACATACCTATTCCATACTTATATCCATTCTTTCCACAAATCCTCCAGTCAAAGTTCTCGACGCAGATGGCTTCCATGAAGGAGATTCTGGTTCCATGGAACAGGAGCTTTTCCTGCACTTCCTTCCCTCCATTTTCCTTTTCCATCTTTTCTTTTTGCCTGAAAAAAATGCAGGAGAGAAGAGTATGAGCCATGGAAGAAGGAGAAAAGGGTTTTTGAAAAAAAATCAAACAACTTTGTAATGTCCATGTAAATGTCAGCTGGATGAGTTTTCCAGCCTGCTTTCTCCTCTCTCAGCTTGGAAGGTGAGACAGGCTAGCAGCATAAGCACTGTACTGATACCACTGCTCAGCAATGTGAGGTAATCCTGGCATTTCTCAGTGAATGGAAGCAAACACTGACACTATTCCAGTTCTCACTGTACCAACCTTGTGCTCCTCTCTAGGGTCCTCTCATTCTGCTCTTAAGGCCTCCTGTCCCTTCTCACCCCCAAACTCTCAGTGAAGCAGAGGTGACACTAACCATGGAGCCTCTGTGCTTCCACAGTGGCTAAAACCTAACGGCAGTTTGTCCTTCATGCCACACACCCTAAGCTGCTGCCCCTGGATGACATCGGTGCTGCTGAGGGGACAGGGCCAGAAGGAGAGTACTGAGCCTGCTTTCACCTCTGCAGACCTTGCTGACTTAGGCCAGAGTCAAAAGAGGAATCACAACAAAAGGTTCAACTAGTGTTTTCCATCACTATTCCACAGCATCCAGGCACCCTGCAGGTTTTCAGGAGCTATTGAAGTCGATAAGGCAGAAATACTCTTGAGAGAGTGATCAGCTACAAATTAAGCAGAGGCAGGGAGATGGAAGAATCCTTCCAACTTGTAAATTCCTAAGTGAAAAGTTAAGAGCAATGGACTGAAATTTGTTCCAATGAACTTACTGTGAGGGTGCTGAGGCACTGGCACAGGCTGCCAAGAGAATCTGTGGTTGCCCCATCCCTGGAAGTGTTCAAGGCCAGGTTGGATGTGGCTTGGAGCAACCTGGGCTAGTGGAAAGTTGTTCCTTCCCATGGCGGGGACTGGAACTAGATAAACTTTTAGGTCTCTTCTAACCCAAACTACTCTATGATCCTACAGACTTGGCCATGTCAAATTCTGCCTGCTGAGCTTAATAACCTCATTGGAGGAGGACAGAAAGTATGCACTATTACATGTTTTGAAGTGTCTTACTTTTTTGCTAGATGAAAGTTTCATGAAATCATTAGCTGATGACTTCCTGGGTTCTGTCACTTCACAGGCAAAAGCACTTATTTTTTCTATGCCATTACCATTCCATACAGTCCTTGAATACTTACTCTTGTTTTAAACTGGACAACTGTTCTATGCAACAGCTTAATCTTCTACCAGATTAACTTAAGCATTGGTTGAGCCCCAGCTCAAATATGTTGGTGTCTAGCTTGACCTAAGTACCTGGAGTTCAGTATCACTGACACAGACGTTGGAAACCAGAAAGGAGCTCTAGAACTCAGAGATCAGGATGTTAAAACACAGGGATTCTTCCTCAGTGAACACTGACTTCATTCAGCAAAAGTACCTTAAATAAATCTGACTGGAACAAAAAAACCCAAGCAACCTTTACCTCTTTTAGCATTTCATATACTCTGATGGATAAAGATTTGTAGCAGAGCACGTGTGCTGCAAGCAGTTACTGCTCAATCCCCAAGACCTATTCCACATCCCTGTGGGGTACCCTCATCCCAGTTTTGTGTCATGCATGTCCTTCTGTCCATGCTCCTATTCCCCTCTCCCAAGGAGCCATGCAAAGGGAACCTCTCCACAGGAGCATGGCATATAGGAAGGCCTCAGACACCAATTTAACTCCTGAAACTGCTCCTAAGAAGGAAATACCAGCCATGTTAAACCATGGGTGGCAACCTCCTATCTTTCCTGGGAAACAGATACACAACACCCAGTTCTTGGGAGAGTCCCTCCCCATAAAGATGAGGAAACAAATACTAACCACTGAAACACCTTCCAGAGGGATGGATTCTGAATCCTCTGTATTTTAAGGATGCTGTAGTCTCTCATAGTTTGATGAAACAGCTGCTTTATTTGGTTGTATTCAGGGGTTCCACTATTGATCACCACTGCCTATAAAATATGAACCAAAGCAAAAGAAGATATGAAGCTTCAGTTAGCTCATAACATGCAGAAGCCTAATTACAGCAGATGCACTTTCAGAGGGGTCCCCAAACTGTGCCCATGAAGGGTAAGTTAATGTTTTAAATTGTGACTATGTGTATAATTAAATAACAAGTAAAGCAGTATGTCACTCCTGCTCTGCAGGGACACATAACCTCTCTCCAGGGAGGATGCTGAAAGCATCAGTTTGAGGTTTATCATCTAACATCAGGGTTCACACTTGAAACTTTAAATCTCAGTGAAGCAGAAATTGCAAAAAGAAAACTTGACTGATCATTCCAGATAGAGTTTTACATCTAAAGTTAATTCAGAACAAATGAGGTTAGATAACAGTATCATTTGTAACCAGACATTTATGGAAGCTTCAGCTGTGAAAGATGAAACAAGCAAAACACACACGCAGTATCGTAGCTCTGCAACTTTCAAAGTCAGAAGTTGGAAAGCTGCACTTCAATACAGACTTAAGAAAAAAAAGCTTCATTTCTAGACAAATGTGACACTAAATACATACTTAAGCAAATACATCTCCTTTCTTGAAGGAAACGAAGTCTATTTATCCATACTTTTTGTGTTTAAAAATCCATGAAGAAATGTACATTTTTCCCAAAGAGAAGTTAATTCAGGACATAATTCACACATGATTTGAGCTCTTCTGCTTGCTTCTGTCATGCATAAAATTTCCATTTTTTTCTTGAAAGTAACCCATGTCTTTTGCCTTCTAGAATAAACATTTTTTATCTCCACAAACAGCAAAAGCATGATGCTGGCAAACTGATGTCACCTGGTCATCCTTTCCACTTCACCACTGCCTAAGCCAAGTGGGGACTCAGCATGAAGTGAAATGCCCAACATCCCAGAGACCAAAGTTGTGTTTTAAGCAGGAAAGCTGTGGCCATCCTAGAAAGTAATACGAAACAGCATCTTAACCTGCCAGGCAAAAGCTCCACATTTTAGAAGGCTAAGAGTTTAGAAAACATAAAATAGGACTTGTATTTCACAGCTACATAAAGAAGTGGTTTTCTGGACATCACGTCCAGCTTGTGCATTAAGTACTTATTAATGAAGAGACTAGTCATAGGGAAGTCTTCTAACGACTAAGAATAAAGTCAGCTACACAGGAAAGAACTGTATCTCTTAGGTTATTTAAAAGCTTTTACAAGGTTGAGTAACATTTCCCATGCCTCAATACAGGAGCATTTTCCAAAGCTGTTTACAACACTACACATTAAGCAATCAGGATGGGCAAATATTATCTGTGACACCACAGCTCAAGCTGTTCACTGTCACCTACAGCATGAAAATAATGTCACTACATTTCAGTACGACATCTTCTATTTCAAATCATAGAATGGCCTGGGTTGGAAGGAATCTGGGTTGGAAGGTCTAGTTCCAATCCCCAGCCATGGGCAGGGACACCTCCCACTAGTTGGTTGCTCAGCCTGGCCTTGAACAGTGCTAGGGACAGAGCAGCCACAGCTTCTCTGGGCAACCTGTGCCAGTGCCTCACCATCCTCACAGGGAAGAATTTCTTCCTAATACCTAATCTAAACCCACTCTCTGTCAATGTTAAGTCATTACCCCTTGTTCTGTCACTCCAGGCCCTTGTAAATAGTCTTGCTCCTTTGTAGGCTCCCTTCAGGTACTGGAAGGGCACAGGTCACCCCTGAAGCTTCTCTTCTCCAGGCTGAACAATTCCAATTGTCTCAGCCTTTGCTCACAGGAGAGGTGCTTCATCCCTCTAATCATCTTCAAGGCCTCCTCTGGTCTCACTTCAACAGGTCCATGTCCTTCTGATGTTGGGGACCCCAGAGCTGGATGCAGCACTCCAGGTGGGTCTCACCAACGTGCAGCAGAGGGGCAGAATCCCCTCCCTCACCTGCTGCCCACACTGCTTTGGATGCAGCCCAGGACACAGTTGGTATCTGGGCTGCCAGTGTATGTTGCAGCTCATGTCCAGCCCCTCACCCACCAGCACGCCCAAGTCCCTCTCCCTAGGGCTGCTCTCAATCTGTTCATCCCCAGCCTGGATTAATACTAGGGGTTGTCCCAGCCCAGGTGCAGCAGCAGCACTTGGTCTTGTCCATCCTCATAAGATTCCCATGGTACCACTTCTCAAGCTTGTCCAGGTCCCTCTAGATGCCATCCTGTCTGCCCTTAAGGAGTGTCACCACACCACTCAGCTTGGTGTCATCTGCAAATTTTATTTATACATAAACAATGCCTACTTAAACTACAAATGTGCTTTTGCTGTGCTGCATCCTTTCCTGAGGAACTGTAAGCTTTCCAGGTAAAACAGAGGGTCAGCCATGTGGCACAAGGCCTAACCCTGTAAGAAAAGTACTTCTATTGATTTATCATATGATGGCCTCCAGGCAACAAAGCCTGTTCTCTTTTCCATGAAAAGTTTCTGGGATTGTCCTTATTTGCCAAGGATGCATCCACTGCTAGTAAAGGATCAGAGCTATTGTAGGCTGACATGCCGTAACTACACAACTTCTTCAGTGTTTTTCAGCTTCAGGCCTGAAAAGGAAAACCTTAGTGAGTGCAAGCATTTGCTATCCCATTATCAAGGAGCAAGTTCCTGAGGCAGAGAAAGAATCACTGCCCTGACAGTGATTTCCATCAGTGTTTGACTGTATTAGAACAGTACACAGCCTGCTGAGCTCTCCTGCGTGGCAGCAGGCTGCATGTCAGGATCTCCCCTTGAGTAGGGACACCTCTCCAGGGTACTCCTTGAGGCTGAGAGATTGCTTGCCATAAGAAATTCTTGTAAGAGTTAATATAAGATTAATAGCATGCTGAACTTTGAAATCTTAGCTGTGATAGGCAGGGTTGGTTGTGTACATATAATCCTTTAGACCTAAACCCTTGGCTAAGTGTGGGACTAAGCCTGGCTCCAGCTGCACTGAAACTCCACAGAGAAAGGAGTTTAGAAAAGCAAGGGTGTCCTTCCTGAAAGTCGTGACTCAACAGGAGGGTCTCCTTCACAGTTCTGTCTGACCTTGTCATCTATGCAGTAAAGAATCAATTGTACTTTGCCTTTGAATCTTGTTAAACCACTCACTTTTACTATCAAACTTTGTTAAATCTCAGTTTTATACAGATAACATAGTGCTGCTTCTCTCTTATGAGAGAGAAGTGCACCACTTCATCCGTGACACCGACACAAAAGGCCAGACACTGGTGTTCCTTAACCTCCAAGATATCTGTGCCAATACGACTTAAGTAGCATCATACAAGATTCTGTGACACAGCCAACAAGATCTTATGCTCCTGGTCATTAAGCAGGGCCAAAAACCACTACACAAAAGGACAAGTGTAACACAAAAAAGCCTTCTTTCTAGCACCCTGCAGTACTTCCACAAAATGTGCTGCTCTTCCAGAAGGACTCCTGGACATAGTAATCTAAAACCACCTATGCATTTTGGTCTTGGTAGACCACATAGGAACATAGACTTTGGACTGATGGGGGTTGGGTTTGTTTACATTGAAGAGATCACCGCAAACGGGTTTTGATTTTATTGCTGTAGCTCTTCATTTCTGCCATTCCTTGAGGCCAAGGTCTATGCTCAGATCTGTGATGTATGTGACAGTACTGGAGGACTTGAAAGAGCATATAGAGATTTCTTTTCCTAGATTTCCAATCCAAACTTTATCTACCAACAGCCAGGACAGTATTACTGGATGGCTCTTTAATGGCCTGCAGGGTTTGGTCTCAGTCCAGCTTCTAGTGAAGAAATACACACTTCATAAAAGCCCTTTGCTTAAGTGGTCCCCTGAGGCAGCAAAGTAAGCCAGGTTTTAATCTTTAACAGCAAATCTTTTTGTCTTGAATTTGGCAAGTTTGGTTTTGCATGTAGACAACTGCCTAAAATGCAAACAAAGTTCACGGAAATTTGGCTTCTTTTTCAGGAGCTCTTGGGAGATCAACTAGATCTTCAGCACACCCACCCAAGAAATCACTCCTGTCCCTTTTCAGCATCCGTGCAGTTACAGTTGGTTCAGTTATGCATCAGAATTACAAGGGTGGGGAGGGAAAAAGAGGGGGGGAGATACCTTGTATCCCACATCAGGCAGTGCAGATGGATCCCAGTGGCTGGGGCAGGCTTGATTTGCAATAGAAGAATGCTTCTGGCTGTTTGCAAACAGACACAAAATGAAGTGTTAGTAATTCTAGTACTGCTCTGAATATTCCAACTGGCAATTCTGGCCAATTCCTTTATTAAAAATAAACACAAGAAACTGGGAAATGGCCTCAGTCTGTAAGCTGGGCCTTGCATGCTGCCATTCAACCATCACAAGCCTCTTGCACTTGCTTTTTAAAGCAACAGTTGTGGGTGTTCCCTGTAACCTCCAGGTTGCATGTATCACATCACCTAGAGTACCATGTACCCCAGACACCAGGTGATGCACCAAGCCTGCAGCTTGTGATATAGTTTCTGTTCAGTCACATGGATATGCTTCCTCTAGCAGCAGCTGTGGTCTTTGCACAATTACTGCCTTATAATTACCTCTGAAATATGAAAAAACAACAACCCAAGGAATATCATTTACCCTTTCTTAATCTTCTGCACATCTTCAGAAGACACAAATTTTGGTCGCCTGCAGACCTGTCTTCGAGTTTTAAAAGCAATGTTTGTCTGGGTCATTTCTTGAGGAGAAAAAGAGCAGAAAACAAAAGTCATGAATAAGTCTACAAGATGGGGTCATTAATTAAGGACAGTCACTCTTAAATGAAAAGTGTATATTCATTGTCAATTCTACCTGCTGAAGAATAGTGTGTAAGCTTCTTGTCCTTCTTGTAACTGGATTCAATCTGTACCTATCGTTCTTGCTCTCTCAAGCCATTCATGCTCTTTAAATGTTGCTCCAGCAGCACAAAGATGCTTATTTTTATTTTTTACCATCCACAGAATTGACTTGCTTTACTTAAGGTTTACTATGACTTTATGTGAAGACTACAAATCTTTTTATTTGTGGTCAGATGTGAGTCTGGAGAGTGTCAAGAAATAAGGGAGGTTACTTTTGCAAGGAATTTCCTCTGGGCCATCACTACTTCTCTTCCCCTTCCAATAAGTGAAACTGGTAGTGTTAGGAAAAGAAGTCATAGCTTCTAAAAGCTGGAAGAGTTTGCAAGTTCAGTCTTTGTAAAGCACTGCACAGTTGTAAATGAGAACTTTTAAAATGAGTACCTTTAAAATTGATGTTGTAATGATAACAGCCAGCCTGGAAAGGTATGGTGGCATCTGGATCTGCTTGATACAAATTCTCAATGACAGCAGAAGACGGCGAGTTCACACTGTCCCCTTCTCCCTTTGTGGGGGAAAGATAACAAAAAAAGAGACAAAAGGAGGAGTATTACAGTCAGCACTAAACCCTGGATAACTAGCTTGGGGAGAGGAGAAAATGAGACAATAAGTGGCATGCAAAGGAATCTACCCAGAACTATGGTGCCCAAAACTGTGAGTACTCAACATTCATAACATACACACACAGAGTTAGTAATGACAGACACACATGCATCCCAGTTAAATTCCTGTAACAAGTTGTACTGGGCTGGAGTAGTCAAATTTTGTCACAGTAGCTGGTAGGGGCTGTGCTTGGATTTGTGCAGAACAGTGTTGATACCACAGGGATGTTTTAGTTCTTGCTCAGCAGGGACTGCACAGAGCCAAGGCCTTTTCTGCTCCTCACCCACCCCCCAGCAAGGGGCTGGGGGCACGAGGGGTTGGGAGGGGACACGGCTGGGACAGCTGACCCCAGGGACATCCCAGACCATGTGGTGTCATTCCAGCACGTAGAGCTGGGGGAGAAGAAGGAAGGAGGGACATTGGGAGTGATGGTGTTTGTCTTGCCAAGTCACTGAGACGTGATGGAGCCTGGCCTTCCTGGGATGGCTGAGCACCTGCCTGCCCATGGGAAGAGGGGAGTGAATCCCTTGGTTTGCTTTGCTTGTGCATGCACTTCTGTTTTCCCTATGAAACTGTCTTTATCTCATCCCACCAATTTTTCTCACTTTACCCTTCCAATTCTCTCCCCAGTCCCATGGCAGGAGAGGGAGCAAGCAGCTGTGTGGGCTCAGTTGCCATCCAGGTGTGATGGATGCACTTGCCTCCCTACCAAACTAGTGTTAGTTTACTTCAGGCTCCAAAGGAAGTAAAGGCCTAGGCCATTACCTTTTTCTAGTTCCAACTTGTTCTCTCAAGATCCGCAAAGGAACAAGACAACATGGTGAGCATTGATGCATAGAAGCTTGGAAACAAACACTAATCATGTAATTAACAGATGAATAGCAGGTGGTTCTTTTAAGACTAATTTGTCAAGGAACAAAAAGTTGTGGGTTTAAGGAGTCTCATGCTTATCTTTCACTTTGCATGCAATTCAACAACCACTTTATTCCACCAATATGATAGCCTGAGTGGGCTCTCTGAGCTCTCCCTGCTAAGGAGAGGGCTGCACAGCACTGATCTCTCCTGGAGCTGGGATGCCTCTCAATGTTACTCCTCAAGGCTGAGACCCCTTACTAACTGCACTATCTCAAACATCTTTCCCTGCATCCTTTTCCATGTGCCTGGATCACCTTTGTGTCCTCCCATTTGTGCAGCTATACTGTAAATCAGATGAGGAAAACTCATCACCATGCCTTGGAGGAAGGTGAGGTTCCTCATTTATTTATTTTCCTTCATTTTTCAGATAGATTACTTTCTCATCAGAGAACTTGGCCATCCAAGGAAAAAGAGTGTGTTGATCAGAGAGAACAAAGCAACCCTTGTCCAAGGCAGCAGGGCAATGCTTAGAAGAGTGGCAACTGCTTCCTGAATAATTTAAGAGGCAATATATCATAAAGGCAGTGTATACATGTTAAATCTCTGTAGAAGCCACGGACAACTCCATCCAGTCTGTCAGCATTTTATCACATCTGTTATGAACATCTGTAGCTTCACTGCCTTACCCAGCACAAGGATTCACTTAATTAATCCTGCTAAGTAAAGGGGGTTTTGGTGGGGGGAGAGGCTCCACACACTCCTGCAGAAGTGATTCAAAGCGCAGGATGTGAACTCACCTGCTCTCCATATTCAGTCCACTGGCCTTGGTCATTCTTCCAATACCAAATCCACTGCGTGGTCAATGAGAGTGTGGGTTTTGTGACTGATGATGGAGTGCAGAGGCGTCGGATGGGAGAAGAAGAGCAGGTCATTGTCTGGAAATCAATGTTCTTATCTGCTAGGCTGTAAGGGCAAATTCAGGTTTATTATAGTCAGCAGGATGTATTTTATTCTCTAATCCCCAGTTTAAGCTGGTGGTGAAATTTTCCTTAATATGTGACTGAATTTAATTAGTCCTGAAATCAGAGTGTTTCCCACAGCACGTGGCATCTCTGAATAACATTTCCAAGCTCCAGAACCAAACTGTGACCTGTGATACACCAAGTGCCATCTCAGTCACTGGCAGCTTTACAGACAGTGTGGGGCTACATGCACAGCCTGGCAAAAGGTACTTCTGCCACAAGCAAGCAGTTACAGGTTTTCTCAGTACAAAACCAGAATTTGGTAAGCATGTGACTGAATTTGCCAGCAAACACCTGCAGCTTATCAACTTTGTTCTTTTTCTGTGGTTACAAGGGATGCAATCACAGCTGTGAGTTCTTCAAATTGCAGTCATCACTGGAGACACTCAGGGCCTTACTCCTGGGAGGCTTGAAAAGTGAACCCCCAGGCAGGAAGACTTTGAAAGCAGCCTCCTCTTGGGAATCTTGCTTGTGATCTGCACCATCCAGCAAGCTGCAAACCAGAATCAATTCCTCCCTTAAGAGGCATGGGCCAAAATGACTATATCATTTTATGAAGCCAGTCTTGGGGTCCCCTATGAATCCAGGTGGCTTACAGGGGGGCTTTTCAAAAAACAATTACAGGGAAAATGCACTTGATTAAAAGAGAAAGAAAAAATTTAAAAAAGATGGGCTGCTTACACAAAGGCCATTTCATAAAATTTCTCTAGGCACATGATAGATATTATTATATTAATAATATTACAGATACTAGCTGTAGTAGGAAAGAAATAGCCAGAGAAGGACCAGCTCTGAAATGCTGTTAAGGGCCCAACTTAATTACTGTAAGTAAATTATGATTTGTTATGGGAAATTCTAATATTCTAAACACTGTATTTCACTCACTTTTTACCCTGTACAGAGTTTTAAATGCAAGATAGTTTTGTTATTTTTAGAAGACAAAAGACTGGAGCATTTTTGTGCACTCTTCTTTTTAAAAGGAAAAATTCTCATCTGTACATGATCCCAGATTCTGAGAGGCTCAGTAATCAGAAGTAATAGAAGTCAGACATCTTTAGGAAGAAAACGTTTTTTCAGCAAGGGCTCACTCACACTACTCCAAGCAAGGAGTCCATAATCACTATACCTGCTGTTTTTTGGGTCACAGTAGGCCTCTTCAATTTCCTCCATCATGGAAAGGTCATTCCAGGTGATCCCATCATATATTTGCCATTTATATGGCAAATGGTAATGAACAGAGGTGCATTTATCTGTAATGAGATCAGACATAGTCAAGAGCTCATAATGCAGAGAGCAAGACAAGAAAACCCAAAAAGGAACCAGCATCTTTTACACCTTGAGGCTTTCTCTCCCTTGCATACCAGACCTGCAGCAGTTCTGTGTACCCTTCACACAGGAAGGGGAACACTTTTGGTTTTTTTCAATCATCTATGTTTTCAGTGCATGTTCAGACCTGCTAAACACACCTGGACGTGTGCATGCTGCTGCACACAGGCACAGGCTGACCTGCAGGCTCCTGCTGGGGGAAGCTGATGTACATTCTGCAGCCAAGTATGGACTGAACTTCTTACTTACAACTTCTGAGCCAAATGTGGCAAATCAAGCACACTAACTCTCCAACCATTACCTGCTTTTAGTTATTTGGTGGTCACAGTATGGCTGCTTTGAGCATGGTCTTCACAGCCAGCACATGGGGACATCATGCATGTTATGCAGGTCCAAAAATCTATAAACTTCAGCTTCAAGCCTCAAGAAGCAGAGTCTGAGAAATGTGATATGAGGCTGGAGTGGTTGCTGCACAGACAGAGCCAAATGAAGTTTCACCATTCCTGACCCCTGATCTATCTGACCACATAACATATGGCAACAAAACTCAGTTGTGAAGACAGTGTCATTCACTCCTTTCTTTCTTCTTTTTGTTAATGGGGTTAGAGTGCACTCTGTCTTGAAAAGCACTGTGCTTAAATTGAGTTGAAAACCTGTAGACAAACCCTTTGTCTCTCTTGGTCAGATTCAATTTTTATGATCCATAAAATACCCATAAAAGAGATAAATAATTTTTTTAAGTAGCCTCTCTTCAAAGTAATGGGTAAGAAAAGGTATTCTCAAGCTCTAGAGTAACTTACTCATCTGCCTCTCAGAAAAAGAGCTTCTGACAGAACTGCATCTTTACCAGGACACAAACCCACGACACAGATGCCAAATACACAGAAACATTTCAGACCCAATGGTTACTGTCCATGTGCTCAGCAAAAGCAAACACAATCTGAGCTAATTTCAGTGGATCTTTTACCAAGGCCAGGTGGTCAGAAGATGACTAGTCCTTTAGAAAGTGACTGGACAAGCTCAGGGAAAGAAAATGTCATGGTACCTCCTCATAACCAAGCCAGAGCCATGTCTGGGGCCAAGTGACTGCTCAGGGACAGGCCCCAAATACAATTGCTTTTACTTATGTTTCTCCCTCCAGACCTCTGTTACTGGCCACTACCAAATGGAAAATGGACCAGATTTGTCTTTAGCTTAGCTGGTACAACTACTGTGGTTTTTTAAGATGTTTCAACACCTCAGGTCACTTTTTAAAGGAATGAATGGAACAGAATATGGCTATTATCTGATGTACAT